ATTTTGGTGGCAGTTTGTTAGAATGAGGAATCTTAGCAATATATGTGAATCTATAGAACATAATCTGAAATCTTATGCCTTTTGAGGTTTGCACTTGTTCCACTTGCGTTTTGTCTCTTTTTCCAGTCATAATTTCAAAAATGTCAGAGTAGCCATAACAGAGCATTTCTCCTGTTCCCACCTGGGCTCTGTGATGTGAAAAAAATAATGTTAGTACACTAGTGATGAGCATTGCCAAGATATTGGACTGGACTGCTGATAATTTTGTGTATTTCAGAAAAGTTGAAAAACTAGATTCATGAAACTACACTCATAAAAACCATAGCCTCACCACGAAGATGTTAGGGTGGCCATGGCTGTACAAAGTATCTTAACCAAACATCTTCACCCTTTCACAAATCTTTTCTTTTTGAAGGTAACTGTGGGTGGTCTTTCTTTGTCCAGTTTCTGTAAATTTGTAACATCACTTTCTAGTTATGCAGCTGATTCTTGTGTTTATGTGAATGGCTTTTTAAAAAGAGGAAAGATCAGATGTTTGTTGTTTCACTTCAACATAAATCAAACTTTGTACTCACATGGCGATTCTAGTTTCGTCCCAGGAATAGCTTTAGTATTGCTAAGTGTCTGGAAAGTATTGACTACAGAGACATGACTTTAAGCAGGCTATAATAGTTTCTACAGCTGTTAACAGTTCTCAGAAGAAAGGCAGTATTATTCATTGGTATTTAAAATGTGCATGACTTGCATTGCACAGAAGTCAGATTGGGAGAATGTCAGAATTTTTTTTCTGAAATTCTGCCAGGAAAATCTTCAATAACTGGAGAAATTCTTTTCACTGGTGAAATCAACATGCAGCACATTGTGTTATTATACTTGCTTATAGCTCACCATGAAAGTTGTCTTTGTATGCGTGGATGTACGGCTTGTACTGTTTTGTTTTTATTTATTCTGCATTCTTTATTATAATGTTCTTTCCTTTTTTCCAGACTAGAAAGATTGTTATTGAGCCTTTCACAAAGCTGAAATAATGCTGTATGTTAAAAAAATGTTAACAATTCGAAGAAGTTATAAAAATTTATAAGTTGGCTGAACACTTTGGAAATTTCTGCATATTTTAATATAAATAGGTAATGCAAATGTTTGTTCTTTGCATTTAGAGGTGTGTCTGTTTCCTAAAGGTCTTGTATATAAATTTGATTCTTACAATTACATTAGAGCAAAACCAGTCTTTTTTTCAGATTGTATAATAGGAAAAATGTATTTGCTAATGACTCAGAACATATATGGTTATCTCTGAATGTCATATAGTCATGAAATTCAACATAAATAGCATCAGTTGTTTGAATGACTTCATTAAGTGCATTTAGGGGACTGCCTCTTGCAGTCAGCTAAGGTCCTTCCATTCAGTTCTGTGTGTCCTGGGTTAGCTCACAAAGAGATGCTGCAGTTCGTGGAGAGAGAAAAGGACATGATTTCTTTATAGGTAATGTGAAGGTTCAGATTGTGCTGGTAGAACTTACACAGTAATTCAGTCACATGAAATCTAAGAAATCACAGAAAATGTTGCTACTTCAGATTAATTTGGTGTTATTCATAGCTAAAATCATAGTAACAGGACAAGTGAGTCCAAAAGGAAGAGCAGAAATAGGTAAAAGAGGTGAGTGACAGAATACTGGCAGATGGGCAAGGACCTAAATGATGACAATTTTAATGACTAGTCCAAAAATATAACAGTTCAAATGTTATGATTTAGTGGAGGTGCTGGCTAGGTAAATGCCTGAAAAGACAGGCATCAAGCTGTTTTTTGGAGGGGTTGGAGGACAGCAAAGTAAGTTTGGTGTCATTGTACAGAGTAGAAAAGATTTGTTAAGTTTGCCTGGAGGAGAAAGAATGTCTGATCTCCAAGGCAATTTCTCCACAAATGACAGTAGTAGGAACTAGGAGTGGACCTGGAAAGGTGCAGCTCTGCTGAGGTTCCCTGGCCTGCATGCTGTCTGAGGCCTGTGTACTTTGCCTGAGCTGCTGGGGTACCTCTTCTGCTTAGTTTCATCTGGAAGGAATCTGGTCTGTGCTTGGGGACTGCACAGTAAGTGGGACTTCAGAAGCACACTGCTGCACCAGACTTGAACAGTGATGTAATGGGAAGGGGCAAAGGGAGTACTCAGAATGTACTATTTCATGTTACAGGTGCTGGCAGCATGTGGAGCAGAAAGCAGTGAAAGTCCAAAGGACTAGGGCACCAGAGCAGGTCACCAGGAGCTGTCGTGCCTTACAAGCCATGCAGGAAAGAGAAAGGGAGAATGATTCATTGGTTGATGAAAGCCTCTGTAGGTAAAGTTGGTATGTATCTGAAGTCTACAGTGATTTAGTACTTCAGGATGGATTGCCTTCTGACATATTGCCTGTGAAATTTTGATAGGGCTAGAAGTACTTTGTAGCACCAGCTCCGTTAAGTGTGCAAAACTAAAGCACAGCAGTCCTAGGCTTTCGATTGTGCAGTTTTTATAAATCTTTTTCTCATGACATCATGGAACATACTTTCTCAGTTGAAAGGTTTCTGTGGTCATTGACATCAGTGCTGTGAAATAACATTGAAAATTATAAGCATCTTTCTACAGAGTAAACTGCCAGCTAGCAGCAAAGACTGCTTTTCAAATGGAATCACTATGGTAAATCACTTATCAGACCTTTAAAGCATACACTCGCACAACTGAATTCAGTTCAGTAAGAGTGTTGATTCTTCAGTCTTTTTTGAGTCACTTCCACTGTAACATTCTCTGGAATCGTTCATTTTTGAGTGTTTAAGATGACTGATTGGTAATGTGGCGTTATCATAGATTCAAAGGTATTTCCATGTTCTCTGTGCCACTTCATACCATATTCTCACAGAGACTGTTATATAAAAGTACCATTTTGCAGAGCGGGGGAACAGAGAAAGAATAAATGATGGAGGTAAGTCTGTGTAAGGAAATATGTTGCAGAACTGCTGATCATAGTTTTCCTCATGTTACAATATTTAGTCTCTGGATCAGCTCTCTTGTTCTGCAGCACAGGTTCATCCCTTTTGTGCTGCAGCTCTTGGTTACCCCATCCAGCATGGACAAAAAGGCTGTACAGCATTCAGGTGAGTCTAGAAGCTGATAGGATTCTTGGCTTTAGTGACAGCATTATGTCAAATAATGTGATGGTTAGCTGAGACAAATTTATTTAGTGCCTAAGTATAGTGTGTTTCTGTAGGCCAGTACTTTGGAAACAAGGAAAGTAAAAGATGTATGGTGAAGTTGTTGTCAAGAACTGTTCTTGCTACAAGCAATGGGCACAACACTGCCTGTTAAAGTTTGCTAACATGATTTGCTGGTAAGATTTTGGCTTGTGAAAGGTGATGAAAGGCACCAGCACAACACAGACATACTAGATCTTATCAACAGTTGTGAAGACACATTTTAACAATGTCAAGATTTTGCAGGCCTCTTTCAAAATGGCTGTGATGCCTCCCTAAATGTGCCCATTATCTCTCCAAGAGCAATTGACCTTAATTGCTTCTGAACAATATTTCCTTGGAATCTCTCAGATTACTAGAGGCAATCAAGAGAAGTCTGAATGAATCTCTGCTTTGAAACTGGCCATATTCAATCTGTAAAGTATGTAGGGTTTTTTTTCCCTTGAGGAAAGGCTGAAGAGGGCAATAGGTGGAGGATGTGGAGGGAAGAAACAGTGCCCTGACCCTACAGCATTTCTGCATGTTGAGTCAGGGAATGACATTTAAGCAATTCTCACTGCACCCGATATGAAAAACTATGGTGCAGATCAAATTGCTGGCTGTGATCTGAGAGAGATGAAGAGGAAAAAGGTCAAGGCATCTGTCAATAGGTAGCCTCTTTTATGTTTTATATGTTGGGTGAGCTTACCAGCAAACTAAATGGGTCTTGAGGGCCTCTTTTTCTTTTTTTCTTCTTTTCTTTTTTTGAGGTAATAGATGGCTCTGGACTTTCCATCTTTAGAGCTGGTGGTTTCCACACCACAGTGATTCAGTCAGCATGAACTCTTGACCAAATCCCAATTTGTTTCCTGGTTTTGTTTTTCTAAAATATTTCGCATTTAGCAGGGCATAAAGGCCTTCCTACTATGTGACAGAGTAAGAAGGAGAGCCATGACCCTTCTACTGGCTAGCTTTCAAAGGATAGCTCACTGTTCTTCTGGAAACATTGCAACTGAAGCAGTTAAAAGGATTCAGTGAATTCTGACTGGAACACAGACTGAACTCTTACATGCTCCTGGATTTTTGATGCTGTGTTTTTATGTGGAATTTCCTTTGAAGGTTAATAAGGTCTGATTTTTGTTTGAGAAATATGATCTGGCTGAAATAGTCTAAGTTTAATCAATGTGTTACGGCATGGGAAAGTCATGTACATTTGTCTACTTGCAAGATAAATAGATTAGTATTGCCAGTGATTTCAGGGGATAGTAGGTTGGTTGAAATAACATAGAAGGCCCTTTCCTTTGTCTTGCTGCATGTCTTTTGGTGTCTGAATTCTGTGCGGTGCCCTGTTTAGGGAATATGCTGGTCGTTATCCCTGTTACCTTTCAAGTAGTAGGCTCAGTAAGGATTTAGAATAGCTTGGCTGTGGAGTTTTAAACACTGAGAGGGAGATGATAGACAGGAAAAGCCTGGGAAAGCTACAAATGAAAACAAATTATACCCTGAAAATGAAAACTTCTAAGTGTTAACTGACTTTCAGACTTCTATGTTTTGCAAAATCAGGCATTTCACTGAAGGAAAGCATTCCAGGCTGCTTTTGAGAAACCTGGTGTTTGCTTCAGGTGACAGAGAATATTACTAAAATGACTTATTGAAAAGGATCCTTCAGGATACAGTGCTGTCACTGTATAAGAGTGGTATGGCCACAGGTGAGACTTTGACACCTGAGCGAACACAGGCAGCTTTTCAAGCAGTGCAATGTCCCAGATTAGTCAAGGCATAAATGCTCTGCTCCATTACAGCCTCGCTGCCACTCCCAGAAAAAGAGCCCAGGCATTGTGTGATTCAAGCTGGTCACCCTAGCCCGCTGAAGACCAAATCCCTGTCCTGAGGACCCTGGTGAAGCTGTGACCATACCAGCTGCTTCCTCTTGGCTCCTGCCAAAGGCCTCTGGCTGCCCGTTCGGCTGTGTGTGAAAGCATCTTTCTGCTTAGCAAGTGTGAATAATCTTGCCCAGTTTCTTGGCATTTCTTGGCATGGAGTTGACCTTGTGACTCTGAAGGAGGTTTCAAAGGACATGCATTAACCCAAGGATCCAGTGCTTCTGGGGGTGAATGAGACATGAATGATCAGAGCATGATTAGGTTGGTTCAGAGGTAGGAAACTGGTAGGAGACAGCACCTCTGCATGAGGATGAGGAATTACTGTTCCCACTGAGGGTCAGGGGTGAGTAGATAAAGAAATGTGAACCTCCATATGTGGAACTGGAATGGGGAAGGGAGAAGCCAGGAGGCCAGGGTATGGAAGTCTGCCATGAAGCTGGAACAGCTACAGGGGTTTCAAAAGATATTGAAGAAGATGACTGGAGGGGGGCCTTGGGGTCAGTGGTCAAAAGAAGGACACCATGTGCTTGCAGGACTACAATACAATAAATTTTATTCAGTACCCACTTGTCCCTACAAGCAAGAGAGAGATTCCTGTGTGGGTCTGCAGTTTGGAAAGCATCTATTTATTTTGTATACCTCAATGATTAGGAGGCAAATTTAGGGCTTATCTACTTGGGGAAATCCCTATAAAATATGTTGGGTATGAATTTACAGCCTACTTAAGATCCAGAATAAATACAGTGTAAATTCACACTTTAGCTTACTTCACAGGAACTCCCCCACAGAACCAAACCCTCAGAGTCACCTCTGTACCTCAGTCTGGTGCTAAAAGTGAGTGGATGCTTTTCAAGATGTGGGCCTCCAGTTCCATTTTTATAGCTGGGTTTTTTTGTCTCCTGAGGCTTTTTGCAGCTGCTGTAAATCACTGTTACTTTGCTGAGGTTGGAGAAGATGGGCCAGTTTGTGTTGCTCAGGATCTGACCCTATGCCTCAAGTAACCTTTTATTATCAATTGGCCAGAGGGTATTTTCCTTTTTACTGGCTTTATTATTAAGCTTGTTCATTCACTCCCACCTCTACCGATGCCTTTTTTTTCTTTTTACTATTTTTCTCTCTGTGAATTTTATGTGAATTGTGTCTTTCCTCCCATGTAATTTCCTGATAGTGAACTAGTGACAGAGTGGGCTGCTGGTATTTAATCTTGTGGCTGGAGAGGTCAAGGTGTTTTTGATATAGACAAATACTCCATTACATTAGACTCACTGAAAGTTTCTTTTTCAACCTGAAAGGAGAAGGAAATGCACTCTCCACTAGTGGGCTTTCAAGAATTACTTCTGTGAGCTGAACTTATACTAAAGGCCAGTTTGGTAGTGTTCTGTGAGCAGGGAGAAAAAAAAGAGGAAGACAATATTTTTCCTTCCTTTTTTTTCTGAGATTTGGCTTGAGTTTTGGCTCCTTATCAGATTAGAGTCCTGCAGAGAAGATAACAACCCTTTGCACTGTGAGTTGTTGAAGAAATGGATATTGCTGATGTCCAGCTGGAAGAGCATAAGGATTTAAACCTTAAAGTTCTGTCTCTGCTTCTGTTTAGGGAAACTTGCTTCTTGGCAGGAAGAACTAAGTAATAAGGCAAATACAAAGCACAGTACATTTTTTGCTGTACTGTAGGGAAAGACTAAAAAGACTGCCCCTGTCTACTTTATGGCAGTTTAATTTAAATTTATTAGACTGCTGCTGGGTATACACAGGAGTCTAATCCTGCAATCCATGGATGGCTGTAGGTACACAGTATTGCAGTGTTCCCTGTGCATGGAGTAATTTGACATAAGATGTGCTTTGTGCTTCTCAAGGAAGAGGCAAATATAACATCATATTGTCTTACTGTTCACTTCTTGGACTTGGCTGAGTTGCCCTTTATTAGAAAGGCTTGAAGGAACAAAAAATGCAAGATAATAAATATTTATGTCCCAAACATGACATAGCATCATAAATCATTAATTTTTGAAGGCATTAAATTATTCTTTCTGCCTAATTATTTGTTTTGTGGCACCAGTTTGCTTAAATTTGTTTCTGTGGTAACCTGAGTTATTTTATGACTCTTTCTTCTACAGAAAATTTAATATTGATTTGCTGATTTCTTCTTTAAATGCAGTCAGAAATCCTATTTACTAAATTAAGAAACCTATAATTGGAATGAAAACATGCATTACCTTGCATTGCATGAGCTGTTTGATTGTTGACTTTGACATGTGCTTTATTACTAAAACACATATTTTTGTTAAAAAGAAACTATTTCATTTTCCCACCTATTCTGGCATTAAACCTGTATACAAAAAATAGGCTGAAATGTAGTTAAAAGTTTGGTTAATTTAAGTGTGGGAGCATGTTATCAGTTGAAAGATGTTATTTGAAAGATAACTTTGAGGTTGAAGCTGTTCTATTACTGGAATGAACACGGCAAGGTCAGATGCAGACCAAGTGAAAAGAAAGTCAATTGATGTGATGTGTTGGCACACATTTCTGGTAGGTGTAAGTCATGACTGTTGCATACACTTGATAGTCTTCTCCCATCGTTCATAGTCTGATTTGTATTATTTATGATATACTTGCAGGGAAGAAACTGTGTCCTCCTGCTACTCTTGGTTTGTGGTGTATCTATCTACAGCACATACAGAGCTTGGTCTAGAGAGCCTGGTGAGCTTATAAGCTTGGAAGTAGGATCCTACAGGGAGTTGTACAGGACAAAGTGCTGTAAGTAGTGCTCTCAAAGCATTCAGCTTATATTGCATAATAAACATATTTCAATTGGTAGCATACACTTCAATGTGACTAATCTTTCAAAAGCTGATTGTCCTAAGTGGCCAGAGCCCAGTGGAACAGTCAATTCCTGGCTACCTGATGCCGTGTGCTGACTCAAACAGAAACCCTTTTTCTTTTCAGATGTAGCTGACATAGACATTTGCTCTTCTGCCTCAGCCACAGGGAAGGCACAAGCCCAGCCAGGTAAATATGTCACTGCCATTGCAGTCTCTATGCCAGATCTATGTGTAAAGACATCTCAATGACTCTGGTCAAAATTCCCATCTAAAAAGAATAGTTAGGTTTTTTTCAGAGGGAGAGCAATCAGAGATCAGCAAAATGTTTAATGAAGAATAATGTATGTCACTTGCAGTCTTCTCACCTACAAGAAGTTTTTTCAGAGCCTGACTGTGCTGTATTTCATCTAGCTACCTGCTTCTTGTGTTTAGAATGAAGATGCATAAAATCCCATTCCCTCCAGGAGATAAAGGGACATGTCACGCTACACAGCTGGATGTTTCAGAGCCAGCCAAACTTGATCCAGTGCCTGGCCCTGTTCCAATGGGCCTTGAGCAGCCCTCTCATGGACATGGCAGAGCCCTTGCTGCAGAAAGCGCAGCTGCTCCAGGAACACTGGAGCAAAAGGTCTGTGCATGTAAATATTGTGACTCTGTACGATGTAGTGGATCCCTTGGGTCATTTCTCGCAATGCAGCTCTTGCTGAGAGAAGCCTGGCAGCCTGCCCTGCCCGGTGTGCCCCCACAGAAGCTTTGAGACCAGGAGGAGAGTCTGCTTTCCCACTGGCAGAGCCTTGTTCTTCCTTGCCCTACCCCAGAAGTGCAGCTTGGGCCTAAGCAGACCCTCTCTGGAAGGTTTAAAAATACTGCAGAAGCCAAGCAAAGGATGTAAGTTAAAGCTATGATGAAAGCATGAGGTTGCAGGTGTATGTCTGGACAGGAAGTTTCATGCAGGACACCAGCATCATGCAGAAGGAATCTCATGACCTAGTTTTCAGACTCTTGTATCAATGCCTTCATTTCTTTTCTGACTGAAAACATACACAGCAGTGAATTGGCAGTGGCCTTCATATTGGGCAGATGTGTGATAACACATCTACACACAGGCTGAATTTCACGTGGAACAGCACTTGACTTCTACAGGAACTGCCGTTTGTGTTACTGTAATTAATACTAGTGTGTTTGGATTCCTGCTTTCATTTTATCTTTGTACGCTTATGGTGTCAAGAAGCCACAGTCCGAGTTCCTTTTTTATTTGCCTTGACCACTGGATACATTCAAAAGAAAAGGCCGTTCAAGTAGGCTATATCTTATCCTTCTTGAGCTATCTAGAGGTCAGGTCTGTAGTCTAAGCCACATGTATGGGCACTCTTGTGTGTCTCTTCTTCACTGAAGGTGGCCAGAGTGATTCATTATGTATTTAGGAGACTGAATCATATAGCAGTGCTGCCTGTCTCTGTTGGTGGTGGAGAGAGCCAGGACAATTAGCTAAGTCTAGGCATTAACTCTAGGCTAAAGGGGTATGCTTTTCTTGCTCAGAGCCAGGAAAGTATGAGTTTGAGTTCCAATTAGCAGTATTTAAATGCAAATGAGCATTAAAAGAGCCTGGAGTGCTGCATGTCTGCAAAGGCATCTGTTGCCTGCAGACACATTGATTTGCTGCAGATGCTTGAGCATACTGCATATGCCCAGAGCTCCTCTTTGCCATGTCTTCAGTAAGCATCTCTTGCCCAATGAGACATAGAGAGACGTTCACTTTTGCTGACTCTGCAGGGGCAGTTGTAACTTCTGGCAGGATATGCATGGACAACTAGGTTGGACATATAGCCTAATAGAAGGTGCTAGTAGAGTTCATCTATCAGAAACTCACTCCTAGTTTTATTTTGCCAGCAGTATGTCTAGGTCAGTTAGAGGCTGGAGAAAAGTGTACTGGTGTGAAGATGCTCTGCACTGAAAGTTTGTTCTCCTTCCTGTGGGATACATCAACACCTCTTAGGTCAATGTTGCTTCATCCATTCACCAAGCAAAGCAGGGGCCACCTCAGAGTTAGAGACTTTTTATATTGTTAGCATGGTGCAAAAAAGGCATTTGTTAAAATTGCGCATTGGAATATTAAAGGTGTATCTTTACAGGTTCTGGAAGATCTCTATCTGAGAAAAAGAGGGCTGATGTGAGTCTTACTTCACTGTGATCAAGTTATTTCTACTGGACAGTGTGAAAAACAGATCAGGGAAACTTAGATACCATCTCTTGGAGAGAATGGATCTGGATTCAATGCAACTGGATGTAGAAAGGCCTAGCAGCAACTGCAGAGTGCAGTTACTACTTCATCTTCTTTTTATAGATATGCAAATGTGGTCTTGGATTACTTGATTTATCTAGTTCAGACATGTTTTAGGGTTGGCATTCAAATCTAAGACTTCTTCTAGAGATACTCTGAATTATTTCATAATTATGAGAAATCCTGGGGAGGTATCTCAGTGTTTAAAGAGGAATATCTTGCTGTACCACACTCCAGATATATCAACACAGCCAAATCTCCTTCTAGTATGTTATAGTTTAATTAGCTCCAGTTCTTGAGTCATAATCTGTCTCTCTGGGGCTGAAACACACACACACACAAAGGACGAAACGTGTAGAAGTAGTTTTGATCTTTGCCACTTGGATTTTATACTATCTGTTAACATGACTTCTCATAAAGTCAATTTACAATTGTTGAATTGCAGTTTCATGCCACGGATAACATTTCCTTTCATTGTGAAGTTGTCAGATGTAGATCTCCTGAAAAAACTATTCTACCAGTCTGAGATCTGAGGCATAACTCTCTCCTGCTTGAAGTTGTCCTGCTTCTAAAAAGCAGCATTGGAGTTTACTCTGCCTGAGGATCTAGCCCGTAAAATCCTTCAAGGGCAAATTCTAACGGGGCAGAGAACCAAAATGTCATCCTAGAAGACCAGATGCCATGAAAACCTTTGATGTGCTAGATGCATCTTGAGTTCTCAGCCACAGATCTTTCTTATTCTTCTTAAGAACATTACTTTACTATTAACTTGGTCTATTTACCCTCTGTTAGAATGGTTGATATTTCTGATTTTTCATCCTCTTTTTCACTGCCTCTGTCTTCCAAAAATGTGTTGGAGGGATTTCAAGAGTTTATATTTCCAGAACTGGCCAGCCTGTACCTTGGAGACATATGTAGCTGTTGACTGCTTCAAAGGTGCCTCTCACATTGGAACAACGTCATGTACACAGATCTCTGTGCTCACCAGGGCTGCTGGGTAGTCTCCTGGCTGGGGTGAAAGTGATAGATTGCTACACCAGCATCTCTGGGATTCGCAAACCATCCTGCTATGGAAAAATAGGGTTTCATCAACCTCTCCTCATATCGGTTCCTCCTGGACTTCCCCCACCTCACAGCTCACTGAGATCAGTGGTACTTACTGATCTCAGTAGTGTGATTTTGTTAGACTGGCTGCTCCAGGGCAGTCTGTCCCTCTGCTACAGTGTTATTCCGCGATCTGTTCTTACAGCCCTCCACTTTGAACCCCTCTGCAAGTAGCATCTTCTGATGCTTCACTGTTGCTGCAGCCCTCTTGTTAAGGGTAGAAATGAGCCAAGACACAGACTCTCATTTAACAACATGGAAAGGGTCCCGGTTTATTCCTTTTACAGATTATCTATCCTGGCTCCGACTAATTACAGACTCAGTGGGCGCACACACCCACTGCAGGGTCTAACTGCAGACCTAGACTGACCTCACAGCAGATTCCTTCTCTCTCACGTTCAGTCAGTCCTCCAGTCCTTTTGAAACATTCCTTCAGTACCTTCTGTTCCTTCTTCCTCAGAGCTCCTATACCTCCTTCAGGTTCTCTTTCTTCAAGATCCTTGGCCAGCCAACCCACCCCTTGTCTCACACTTATTTTTATTAGTCACAGCTGTGACCCATTAAGGGCAAGGCTATTCTTTGGTAATTAATATAGCTGTGACTTATCAGGGGCAAGGTCACCTGTAATCTCTTGTACACCTACACTTCACTATCAGCTTTTTGGAAGATTTTCCTTGAGTGTTCACTTTTCCACATGTTGGTTGCCATTTTTCATGCTTTTCTAATTATTCTCACTGGTGTGCTGAGTCATGGCACCATGTATGACAACTCTGTCCTCTGTCACTGTTAATCAGCAATCACATTTCACTCATCTTGCAAGCTGCAGAGGCTAATGGCATCAGGCTAATGGCAACATTTTCTGGTCTCCTTTTCTTTCTGGGTCATGTGGTGATCAAGAAAGAGCAGAGGGAGTATGAAGCAGTTAAATGAGATCAAAGTCTCTCTTGTAACCTGCACAGAGAGTAACCACCATTCTAAAAGAGGAACAGGAAATTGCAGCTTATGTCACTTTGTTCAACAATGATTACAAGAAGAATGGGAAATAGTACACTTCCCTCATGTCTTTTGCAGCTTCAGGAATAGATGACAATGACAATTTTTGGTTCCTTCTCCTCAGATTGAGGAGTGGATGACTAATATCATTGTGTCTGATGCCATCTAATTGGCTCAAAAGAATTTTCTGGTGGTTCTCATGATTAGCATCACTTCCTATCATGTGCAAACCATTGGAGAGCAAAGGCCTCCATTTGAACTGTCATAGTATGAAGAAGATGTAAAAGTGCTGGGTTTCTGAACCAATTCAGTGTATATAAAGTATGTATGAATCAGTATTCTGATCTTCCTGTGCAGCAAGTCATGATGACTGATCTGTTTCTACAGTTGCTAATTATATTATGTTAAAAAATACTTGGTGTTCAAGTGACTTCTATGCAAAAAATCCATGAGATTGAAATTTAATTCAGACTTGGCAGGACACTATTACTGAAATACTTTGCTTTGAGTCAGTTTGATCCATTTCAAAACTGTTGAGCTGGGTTTCTGTGTGTTACTTAATATTGAGTCTGAGCCATTTGTGTGAACTGCTGTGGTATTTTTGGGACAGGAAGCATTGTATCCTGATTGTTTCTTACAGCCACTCCCATTTCTGCATTATCTAACCAAAGGTGTTTTGCAATCTCTCCTCTTACCTACTGTAGTGCTGGATCATGGGAAAAAGCTTGGACACAGAGGCACACTTTAGACAGATGAGACAAACTGAAGTCAAACTGGGTCAGATCAAAGTATTTTGCTTTGGTTCAGCT